GTCCTTCATATAACTATTCCTGTAATTTTGGGAGTAAGTCTGAAACATCAAATTTGGGTCATAAAGCATTTTTTATTAACAGAAATGTATACTATGGATTTTGCGGGTATGTGCTGTCGAAATGTTTGGAGTAGCTAAACATACATATGTATTTGAAATAGTTTTGCAAAAACATTATGTATTCGACTTTTCAAAGTCTATTTAAATTATTTATTTAATATTGGAGATTTTAATGGGCATGTCGAAAAAAAATAAAATTCTAAGAGATTGAATCTATACCTCAGGCTACAAATGGGTATCAAAAGTTTCATAAGAGTTTCGGAGTAATTTTATTTTTTTTCGACATGCCCATTAAAATCTCCAATCAAAGTTATTTGTGTAATTTATTTTAATTATGGTAGACACGCCAGAAAGATCAACATTTGTAAGTCCTATGAAAACTAGTCACTTAAGGTCATAGCTATTTGAGCAAAGCAAGTAGTACATACGTACATATGTATGTGCATACATATGTAGGTCATTGCGGTGTCTTCTTGAAAAAAAGGCAACTTAAAAAGGTAGTTATTAAGCAACTGCCGTAACATAAAAAAAGTATTTCGCTTAGTTACTGAAATCCAACACACTTCTCCCCTACTTAGTATTCTCACCCCCTCTACGTACACCTGACTACCGATTTTTCCAACTTTTTCATGCTCCTGCCGCTGCATTATTAAACGTTATGCTGCTTATCCAATTGCTTATGCCACTTTCGATGCAGACATGTTTTGTTGGCAACGCTTGAATTGCCAGCCACTTTTTACTTACTAAATTGCCAGCCTAAGTTGTCTGGTACAGTTTTGAAAGTTTCGCATTTGCATAAAACATCTTGAACAACAACAAAAAAAAAACAAAAGTTATCCTTTTCGTTTACGAATTTCAACTCCCTCTGGAACGTGCGCTACATGCATACATACTACATGCACATACTTATGCACAAATTTAGGCCGCTATGAGCAGCAGAGCTTTTTACAAATTCATTCAAAGTCTAACTGAACTAGCGCCATGTATGTATATATATATAAATACAACACCATCATGCGCATACATACATACATGAACATCCTTAAATTCCATTTTTTATTGCTGCTTAAAGACTTCTGATTTTCAATTTTTAACTTTCCACTTTCTTTCTAACTTTCCCAGCCACCTTCGTACTTTAGCACTTCATAACGGTCGGCCTTTATTTGCCTTGGCCTTGTCAGTGCCATTTTCAAATGGGCTTGTCTCATTTTTCTTTGGATTCTTAATATATCGTTTTTTTTTGTTTTCTGGTGAAAATGGATAAAATTTATTAGCGGCTCGGTTCTTTTTTGCGTTTCCATTTCTTTCTAAATTTTTTATTTGTGGAGGCGTAGGCAGTCGAGAGTCGCGCGCCGCGTTTATCTGCCTTTCCGGTCGTTTTGTAAGTATTTTCCCATTTTCGCCTTGCTTTCGCGTTCATGCTGCGCTTTTGTCTTATCTTAATTTGTAAATTGGCTTTAGTTAAACACTTTATTAAAATTTATGTTCATCCGGCGACGAGTGAAGGACCGCCCCTTTCGGTTAATGTATTATACATTATATTATTGATGTAATGGTGATTTCTAGAGAAAAACTTTATGCTGAGGCTTTTAGAAAGTGATTAAATTTAAACAGTTTTGATTAAAGAAGGATTCAAATTCACTTTTTCGATTATTATCTTTTTTATTGCTGAAATGTAGCAATAAAAATTTAAAGTAGCTCATTGTAAGTAGATGATTCTGGGTTTAAAAAATGAATACACAAAATTTTAAGTGTAATTTTGGTAACTCCGAATATATTCAGAATTGTTATATGGCTAAAACTTTTCTAAGATATTAAAAATAACATATCTGTCCTTTTTAAGGTACACTTAAACAATTTTTGCAGTTGATTCCGAAAGCGTAAAATATCTTGCTAAATATCCTAAGAGTGAATCAAAGTTTATTGCCGCGGCAATTCACAAATTTTCACAACTCCGAAGTTTTCGGAATAACTCCGAAAATCGGATATTTCCATGAAAGATATTTAAAAAAAAAACTGCTTAATATATTTTAAAATTTGGATGAATTTTCTTCCGTATATACATACACCTCGCGTCATAATTATAAGTGCCTTTATACCTTTCATAATAATAATAATAATATCCCAACGGTTTTTACCCTCCATTCCCGCCCATCCGCACGAGTGGCGTAGTCCGCATGACGTACGGAACCAATATTTTAAATTTTTGTGCCGAGTCACGATAGGCAGGAGTTTGTTAAGTGTAGAGATCTAAAACTGTTCAGCTACAGAACTAAATTCATCAGCTGATTTTATGTATTTATGTCAATAATTCACTTATTGAGAGAGGAGAGTATCGCTTTCTTAATGCTGAAAAGCGGATCTGATATATCAAACGTGCTGGAATGAGAGTTAAAATCCT